GCGACCACTCGAGGCTTACACTTAAACTGCGATAAGGGTCCAATGGAACAGGCGAACAGGACAATCAAGGATTAAACGATCATAAGGGTCAAACGGGAGATGTGACCGAATCGAAAGTGGAACTTTCATAAAAGTCAAATGAGTGTCAGAAAAGGCAAGAAAAGGGGCGTTCAAAAATGGGTGCGAAATTTATGGGCACAGATCGACTCAGAATTGGATTTTGGATCGATCTATATACACCCCTAGAGACCTTTTTTTGTGACCGCGTCCGCCATCTTGGAAAGGGTTATTACAAGGGTCAAAAATGGGGTCGAAAGTTATAGGTACAGATCGACTCAGAATTGAATTCTGAATCGATCTAAACACACCCCTAGAGACCGTTTTTGTGACGGCGTCCGCCATCTTGGGTTATTACAAGGGTCAAACAAGTGGATAATTGCAGAGGTGTAGATTTAGTATAGTTCTTTTTTCTAATGAATTAGCAATTTGCTTTCGAATCGATCAATTGAATTTTTAATGGGGCAAAATGGGTTTGTTAGTCATTTTCAGAGCGACATACCCCCCCACCCCCTCCGCCCCCACAACCCACAATGACGTATTGCGGAATTTTAAAAAATGGGACAAAATGGGTTTCTAAGCCATTCTCAAATTGACGTTTCCCCCCTCCTCACTGTCACACATTAGGAACAAAATGGGGCAGAATGGGTTTGGTTTTCATTGCCGGGATCAACTCCCCCCACACCTAAACTTTGACAGAAAAAAAACAAATAGGGCAGAATGGGTTTGTCAGTCATTTTCTAAATCGAAAAAAATATAAATGGGGTAAAATGGGCCTGTTACCTATTTCCCAAATTGACCGTCCCCTCGCTCATAACAAAAAAAAATGCAAATGGGGCAAAATGGGTTTGTTTGTCGTTTCTCGAGTTGACATCCGTCCCCTCGCCCATAAGAAAAAAACCTACGAATGGGGCAAAATGGGTTTGTTTGTCATCCCTCGAGCTGACACTCCCCCTCGCTCGCACTCATTAAGAAAATAATGGGGCAAAATGGGTTTGTTTGTCGTTTCCCAAATTGACTCCCCCCCGACCCCTCTCCCTCATTAAGAAAATAATGGGGCAGAATGGGTTTGTTTGTCATCTCCCGAGTTGACACCCCCCCCCCTTCCCGAATAAAGCCCACAATAATGGATTTCAAAATTCCACAGAAGGAGCAGAATGGGTTTATAAGCCGTTTCTCAAATTACCCCCCCCCCAACCCCTCTCGCCAATTACGGAAAATACCAAAAATGGGGCAAAATGGGCCTGTTAGCTATTTTCCAAATTGACCCCCGCCCCCCCGGCCGCTGATTATGAAAACCGCGGGGCAAAATGGGTTTGTTTGTAATTTTCCGAGTTGACGCCCCCCCCTCTACAATAAAACCCATAATAATGGATGTCAAAATTCAACAGAAGGGGCAGAATCGGTTCGTAAGCAATTTCCCGAATCCACCTCCCCCCTCTGCCAGGCCTGCCCCTCCCCCTCATTAGGCAAACAGTGGGTCAAAATGGGTTTATTTGTTATTCCCCGCATTGACGACACCCCCCCCCCCACCTCTCGCTCATTAAGAAAAAAACAACAAATCGGGCGAAATGGGTCTGTGAGCCATTCCACAGATTGACTTCCCCCTCACCCCCTCTCACTCATTAGGAAAACAGTGGGGCAAAATAGGTTTGTTTGTCATTTCCCAAGTTCACACCACCCTCCTCCCCGCCATGAAACCCACAATAATGGATTTCAAAATTAAACAGAAGGGGCAGAATGGGTTCGCGAGCAATTTTGCGAGTTGACACCCCCTCCCCCCCTCTCGCTCATAAAAAAAAACAACAAATGGGGCAAATTGGGCCTGTTAGCTATTTCCCAAATTGACCCCTGATTATGGAAACCGTGGGGCGGAATAGGTTTGTTTATCATTTCCCGAGTTCACCCCCCTCCCTCGCCAGAATAAAACCAAAAATAAACGATTTCAAAATTCAACAAAAGGGGCAGAATGGTTTCGCGAGCAATTTCCCGAATTGATCCCCCCCCTGCCGCTCCCTCTCGCTCAATGAGAAAATGATGGGGCAAAACGGGTTTGTTTATCGTTTTCCGACTTGACATCCCTCCTCTCGCTCATTCAGAAAATAAATAACAAATGGGGCGAAATGGGTCTGTGAGCTATTTCCCGCTTGACTCCTCCCCCCCTCTCCCCCCGCCACCCACAATAATGTATTGCGAAATTCGCCAAATGGGGCAAAATGGGTTAGTGCTAATAATCCAAATCAACCCCCCCCCCAAACCTATCTAATATTCATAAGTGAAATAGAATAAAAAATATGCCTGCGACTGCTGACAGTTTACCGCCGACTCGATAATTTAACACTGGCGCCATCTCGCGGCATTCTCCCATCTGAACTTCTTTACCACACAGCACACCATCAATAATTTCTCCTAATTATACAAAATAACCTATTAATGGGTATTAATTGGGACCAATTGTTTGTCTATCAGCATTTAAATAATTTTTTGATTATATTCCAATCATTTTTGGCCCATTTTTCACCTTAAAATGACATCCATGCACATCCATGCTACATCCATGCTACAACATGGATGTACCATGGAACCTCAATCGCCAGGGTAGAATTGTGGTTATATGGAGAATTGAAAAGTGCAAATTTCTTAATAAATTTATGGAAAAGTAAGAAATTCATCTATTATAAAAAAGGGTATGTTTTGATTTATTGGGTGTTGTAACGGACTTCGTCTCGTACGAGCAAAGGCCTGTCCAGCTGGGTAACCCTCTCCATTTCAGTTTATAGCTCCCATTAGGAGCACCGGATAATCCGATCACCTGACACTTTCCAGAATTTTCAACGTTTTCTTTTGCATTTTTCTCCATTTAGCAGTGAAGGACTATACTTCTCTCTTTCTGAGATCATAATAGAATAGTTGTATAATCTCGTGTCAAGATCTGGAAAGAATCGGACAATTTGAAAGGTTACCGCAGGTCTCTGAAAATCTCCATTTTCGGTGGAAATCATACTTTTTTTAACAACAATGAACGAGTTAGAAAATGCAAAAAAATATTACCATTATTTTGGATCTCTGCGAAAGATTAAATAGTGAAATGATGATTAAATGTTGATATTTTCCTCACAAAATATTGGATCAAAAATTCAGAATCGTATTTACATACACTTTATCATATGAAATTTTTAAAGCAACGTGCTGTCATAAGAAACATTGTAAAAAATCGGAAAAAAATTACACCGTTTGTTCATTTTATGTACTAACATATTAGCCGTGAAACTGAAATTGAAATTTTCTTTTCGTGAGTCTACCTAATGGACACGTCCCAAATGCCCACCAAAAGCCATGAAATGACCATGAAAATCTGTGGTTCTGTCCATATGTGTACCAACTCCTACGCATAATAACCACTGAACCTGTTAGGGGCAGACGGAGGTCTGTCTCTATTCGTTAATTTATTTCGGGAATGCGACTCTTACGACTTATAGATTCCTGCGTAAAAGCGAGATTCCTCATGGATCCTTACCTTTTAAATGCTTAGCATATTCCCTGCGCCGTGTCGCACAATTCGATTTAACTCCTGATGGTTTTATTGAATGGAAAGTCTTGTTTGTAAAATTAAAGGAATGAATGAGTCGAATAATAAGGCAATTCCCCGTTAATGTATTTATTCTATAATTGACGAATAGGCTAATCGAACAATCGTTGACTATGTATCAATTATTTTATGAGAGAGAGAGTCTGTTTCAGCGCGAACGCACACGCATTTAACTATAGGAATTCTATAGGATTAACTCTGCAAGAGGAGCGCGATTTGAATTGAATGTAAATTGTGTCTGTTTTATTTTGCTCACCCCTTCTGTTTCCTTAATAAATATTATCGATTAGTAATATGGATATGTAGCGTCCCGATGATGTCCAAGTTCGTCCAAAACAACAATATTCGTGGCACTGTCTAGGTCCTAATAAAAATTCAATTCACCACTTTCACAATTATTAACGATGGGAACAACTTTGTAATTGTCCCAATGAGTCCAATCATTGACCGCTAGGGATAATATGCTCGAACACCCGACTACGATGATGTGCGTAATTGTCGTAATTTTGTAATAGGATTTTGACTGTAAGAACCCGTGCACAATATACTCGGTTTACCGCACGGTTAAGCCCAAGATCAAGGGAAACGTTCACGGCCTCGGTATTTGAAGGGAATTATTACAGGAGTCCCGGTGTGATATATTTCGCGGTTCAGCCGTGACTGTTTGAACAACGGGTGTGGCCCCCTGGTTCGAACGTCGTCACCGAGGTGCTTAGATCAGCACCTAGAGCACACGTGCAAATCGGTGAGCGAAGTTAACGAGTGTGAGTATAAGAATTTGGTTATGCTTCAACTCGCCAACTTCCCTCATCCGATCCTCAACGGCTAGCGTTAAAATATAAATAAGAAGAATTTAATTCAAGTATTTGAATGAAAATAATCGGACTGATTTTGTATATAACAAACCACACAATCAGATCCCAATCGATTAAACTGAAGTATTTTATTTCCCTGTTGTGAATATAGTTACGGTCAGAGGTCGACTCGAAGGGTCACATTTTTCGTATTATTTTCATAAGATTTGGTAACCAAGTATCCATAACAGAGCTATAAACTTTTATAATATTTCAATGGATTGATGGCGAAAAAAAATAAGACATCACTCCGTAACATGCTCGCTGTCATATGGCGCGCTGTCTTACGGTCGCTGTCCCCTGCTTGTTTTATTATTATTGGCATTCTGAGACGGAGTAGAAGCCTATAGACTTAGCTCTATGGTGGAGGAGGAGGAAGGAGATATGTGTAGATGTAAAACAAAGAAAAACTTTTATAACATCAAGGAAATAAAGAATTAAATAGAATATTTTTTTGTCACATTTGATTCATTAGATTAATAGATAAAATTACAGCTTCATTCAAGAATATGATTCTTTGTATTTTCCTGTGACTTACAATCTCTTAAACTACATTTGAAAATAATGCAAAAAAAATTAGAACTTGAATTCCTTATATTTCTTAGCAGACTTGCTCTCTTGGGTTTGCTGTCTCTTTCTTTTACTCTAAAACATAAAAAGGCAAATGACAATGAATAAAATAATCCAAAGGAATCCTTTCAGCCTTAATCCTTAATATAAGTCATGGTCGTCACACAATGAGGCAATCTCCGCAATTTTTTGATTCTTTTTTTTCACACAAAAACTTCCTGAGTGAAAAATTTATAAAAAATTTTATTCCTATTTTAAAATATATCAAATACATTAACAATTCTTTTTGATCCTCACTTACAGGAAGAAATAAAAATCCTTTGAATACTCGACGTGATGAAAATCCTTACTTTTAAGGATATCCAAGTACTTTGTTCAAGGTAGCAACTTTTTTTCAAGCAAGATTTCAATTTTGTCGAAAAATCTCGCCATCCCCATACTTTTTGGGATTCTTCATTGTTGAACAGATTTTTTCTGAAATTTCTTCAATGAATATTGTAAACAATATTTTATTTTATTTCACACTTGACTCTTGTTGGGCTAACCTCTAATGATCATAGAGCAACACTGCATATAGTTTCCATATAACCTAATAAATTCGGGCCGAGTAGTCACTTGAGCGAACCGTTGCCAGACGTCAGGAACATGCGGATTCATACTACCCAATATGGTCATCGTACCAATCAACAAGCTTTTAATTTGATTATTTGCAATTATCTGTCCGGAAACTTACGTTTTCTAATTTTGCAAAAAAAAAATGGAGAGTACAACGAACAAAGTCACATACGATTATGTGTACGGGAAAACGCTTTAAGGATAATCGGGCGAGCCTGGAGGGTTAGAAAAAAAGCAGCCATTTTTCTCTTTTATTTTTTACGTATTCTTTAAATGATGGAAAAGGCGTGTGCAAAGTTTCAGACCGCTGGGGAACATGGTTAATTTATTATGAATTTTTGAAAAAGTGGTCATTTAACCCGTGATCTTATGGAAATCACAAAAAAAAACTGCAAAACCCAAGGAAAAAAAGCAGCCAAAGTCATGAAACTTTAGACACATTTAGAACATGTGATCAATGATTTTTTGAGTGAAAAAGATTGTCGCCTAGAAGCATTGTTTATTAATAATAGTGAAAAAAGTACTGAAAATGAAATTTCTGCGCACGCAGCCCAAACGAGCAGCAACGTCTCAAGTACCGATCGGGTGGGGGTAGCGCGGTCAATTTAAACCTCTCTTGAGGAAGAGCGATGAAGCGTTATGATTGGAGCTCCCTCGAGCCAGTGGTACCAGCTCCTGGTGAAAAAAAAAACACTACCGACGATGTTGCCACTTTTTCGCATGGATTAATATTTTTTCATTTATTAAAAAAAAAACAATCTGAAAACCATTCAATGCGTGGAACAGATACAAATAAATTTGATTAGCTCCAAAAATAATTTTTTAACTGGAGATACTCCCTAATATTGCCTCAATTTTGAATCCGAATGGGAAAAATTTTTTTGTTCAACGATTGGTTTTCTGCAGGAAAACAATAGAACCCCCCCGCCTCACCTCCTACATTTCCTCCTCGCCCGATTATCCTTAAGATTATGAACTATTGGATTGAAGGTGGTTGTATATAGCTCTTATGGACGCAATATGTTACATTTTATTTTTTTTTAAATCGTTTTCTCGGAAAAATGTTTAGAAACTAAAGTTGAGATTGCGCCTAAAAAATATTCTTGGTCTATTCCACGAACTCTGAACAAGATTTCCTCCAGAAAAAAATACCTGAACTACTAGGATATCCTTAACTTTAATTTTGTATCCCTCTTCCATGTTCATTACAGATTCACTCGGCCGAAATAGTGGATTGTGCTCCAAGGGAGAAAAACAGGACATTCCAACCCGCGTGTGAGTTACTGCCTGAGGCAGCTCCAAAAAGTTGGCAGACCAGGGTCATCGGATCGGGTCGGTGAAAAACTCAAAATACGTGCTATTGGTGTGCTTTTATCTACTGAAACAATTAAATTTTCTGCTCCCAAATTTTGGCCGAAAATTTGATTTTTGAGTTTGGGCCATATATCTAGCAGACCAATGTCATCCGATTGGCATCATTTTCATAGTAGCATGAAGTACTAATTGTGTGCTAATTTTCTACGGAAAAATTAAGTGATTTTTCCCGAATTGTCCGCGAATTTCCTAGGACCCTGAAAATTCGTATAGTGCTGACAGATAAATGACGGGTCCCATAGACCCAACGATGTATAAAAAGTTGCAATGAATAATGTGCTCCAATTTGAAGCCCACAGAAAATTTTCTGCTGCAAAATTTTCGCTAAAAAGTTGATTTTTGATTTTTGTCCATTTATCTAGCCGACCAACGTCATCAGATTGGCATAATTTTCATTCTAGCGTGGAGTATTAATTATGCGCTAATTTTTTGCGGAAAAATTAATCGAGTTTTCCCGAATTTTCCGCGCTTTTCCCAGGACTTCACAAATGGTCTAGTGACGGTAGAAAAATGGGGCCCACGAATCTGCAAAAGGCTTCAATGGATAATGTGCTTTGATTTAAGGCCCAGTAGGAATTGTCTGCACCATTATCTAACGACCTGATCTTCATCGATCAATAAGCTCCAATCCAAGATGGCACCCGTGGGTCCCAAGATGAGTCAATAGCATCAATTAATCATGTGTTTTCATTTAAGGCCCAGTAGGAATTTCCTGCACCATTATCTAACGACCTGATCTTCATCGATCAATAAGACCCAATCCAAGATAGCACCCGTGGGGCCCAGGATAAGTCAATAGCATCGATGAATCATGTGCTTTCATTTAAAGCCCAGTAGGAATTTTCTGCTCCATTAACAAATGACCTAAGCGTCATCTATCAACAAGACCCAATCCAAGATGGCGCCTTCCGGTCTCCGGATGAATCAATAGCATCAATAAATCATGTGCTTTGATTTAAGGCCCAGTAGGAATTTTCTGCTCCATTAACAGATGATCCAAGCGTCATCTCTCCGTATGACCCAATCCAAGATGGCGCCCGTGGGTCCCAAGATGAGTCAATAGCATCGATGAATCATGTGCTTTCATCTAAGGCCCAGTGGGAATTTTCTGATCCATTAACAAATGACCTAAGCGTCATCTATCAATAAGACCCAATCCAAGATGGCGCCCGTGGGTCCCAAGATGAGTCAATAGCATCGATGAATCATGTGCTTTCATCTAAGGCCCAGTGGGAATTTTCTGATCCATTAACAAATGACCTAAGCGTCATCTATCAATAAGACCCAATCCAAGATGGCGCCCGTGGGTTCCAAGATGAGTCAATAGCATCAATGAATCATGTGCTTTCATCTAAGGCCCAGTAGGAATTTTCTGCTCCATTAACAAATGACCTAAGCGTCATCTATCAACAAGACCCAGTCGAAGATGGCGCCCGTGGGTCCCAAGATGAGTCAATAGCATCAATAAATCATGTGCTTTGATTTAAGGCCCAGTAGGAATTTTCTGCCCCATTAACAAATGACCTAAGCGTCATCTATCAACAAGACCCAGTCGAAGATGGCGCCCGTGGGTCCCAAGATGAGTCAATAGCATCGATGAATCATGTGCTTTCATTTAAAGCCCGGTAGAAATTTTCTGCTTCATTAACAAATGACCTTAGGTCATTTGACCTAAGACCAAATGACCTTAGGTCATTTGTTAATGGAGCAGAAAATTCCTACTGGGCCTTACATGAAAGCACATGATTCATCGATGCTATTGACTCATCTTGGGATCCACGGGCGCCATCTTGGATTGGGTCTTGTTGATAGATGACGCTTAGGTCTTATTGATCGATGAAGATCAGGTCGTTAGTAGTGTAGTCAAATTAGACTCAAAAATTGCCAAACCTAGTAATTAATCCTCCGTTCATGAAAAAATAACCATTAGATAGATATTCCTAGAAATTTCCTGAACAACATATCAAATTGTTCAATAACAGATTGATGTACTACATATTAAAAATAATTAAAAACGAGTCGTTTTCGTTCGGGTCAATGACAAAAACATTCGTAGTTTCGGCTAAACTGCATCGATTCAAAAAAAACACATACCACATTGTAGAGGAGCTAATTCCACACGAAAATGATATGAGGAGTGATGTTCTAGGATGAATAGTTTTTCCGTGACAACTCTCAGAAGTTTTTTTAACCTTCATTTTGTATTATTGCCGAATTCCTCCCCGAGATCCAGCCCCTTTCTGCGCGCGCATCTGTAGGGCAAGAGCGGTATGCACAGTCGATTCAAATATACATGTGCTTGATTATTCCACGACGTACGTGAAGGTTTTGCGATTTATTCGTCTTAATCAATTAATTCAATTATTTCAAGTAGCACCAAAATGTAGGTGCCTAAAGTACACTGTGGCTAGACAGTTTATTACCAACACCGCTTTGTAGTGGAAACTGATAACAATGAAAGGGCAATTAGGTTGCCCTCCTCATGATGATTTCCATAATGGGACACAATCAGTTTGTGGAATTTATTCTACTTTACCTTATACAATTTATACAATTTTTCGGGCAATTAGGAAGATAGATATACTCATTTTTGGAATTTAAACGTTTCCTACTCTATTCAATAATCTGAAAATTATTTTTATAATATTTCCATGTATAAAAACAAAAATTAAAACAAAAATTTCCATTTTTTCGTTGCTTTCCAAAGACAATATTTTCAGAATTTTTTTCTAATCGATCACCCGTTGCTCCCAAAAATATATGGAAAATCTCGGTCAACTGCCGTTTATAGGTCTTCGGGCAATTTTGATTGTCATGAATAAAAATAACAGTACTTCTTATACGTATAAAATTAATTAAATAAATAAACGAAAGGGAGTATTCAATTTTTGTACTCATTGAAAAATTACAAGTTGGTTGATGAATTCATTTTATTCATAAAATTAATTTGAGCGTCCTCTGTAGTAATATTTTGTTATATTTAGGAATGAAACAATATTCACAATAAAAGATTAACAATATTGACCGACAAGACTTTGCCAAAAGTGTTTGATAAAGTTTTCTCAGTCAATAATTGCTTATTTCTATTGTTTAATTCCGAAATATAATCGAATGCAAATGTAGAGAAGACTCAAATATGTATGTTATGAATGAAATGAAGTTATTAATCGGTCTATAATTATTTAATGGATGCAGGAATTGATAACCCACTTTCATCTATGTACTTAATTAATTACATACATATAATAAGTAATCTTATTTTTATTTAAAACAATTAAAATGTTATCAGCCCTAATAATCTTGTGACACTTCTTTTTAATTGTGTCATTTACTCCTGTATTTTTTTCCGGCTTTCTTCTCAGTTGAAACATTCACGAAGTTCGAACTCCTCTGCGAAATTCCATGCACAGTTCAAATCTACTGCGCATACCGCTACTTTGAGGAGAGTGCGCGCGCATACGGGGCTGGGCCTCATTAAATCAGCTGATCGTTTTACGAGATGTCACGTAAAAAATACTAAATAATTTATTACGGGAGAACAAGTGCACCTGCAATATTGGTTCCTAACTCATTTTCGTAGAGAATTTTCGGCCCTACACACTGGTATTTTTTTCTCAATGATCGGTTCAATTTAATTGAATCTACACGGATTTTTGGTGTTCGTTTGAAAATTCCAATTGTTTTTAATTATTTTTAATATGTAGTACATCAATCTGTCATTGAACAATTTGATATGTTGTTCAGGGAATTTTCATCTATCTAATGGTTATTTTTTCATCGACGGAGGATTAAAAGTGTCACCTAAATGCTAGATTGACTACACTATGAGATAGCACGATTCTGGACTGCAGTAGAGCTCACCCTCTGGTTGGAGGGAGCACTACTGTAGAGCGATTAGGAAAAGTTTGTTTCGCTTAGCTTGCTGGGCAGTCTTCGGGGTGAAGTCGGAACCCTCGAGGATCGTTCAGCGATCTCATTTACGAGTGTAAAAAAAATAAAATAATAATAATAATAATAATGATAACAATAATNCCTACACTGTAGATAATGGTGCAGAAAATTCCTACTGGGCCTTAAGCAGATGATTCATTGAAGCCTTTTGCAGATCCTTGGGTCCGTGGAACCCCCCATTTTTCTATCGTCACTAGACCATTTGTGAAGTGCTGGGAAAAGTGCGGAAAATTCGGTAAAAATCGATTACTTTTTCCGCAGAAAATTAGCACATAATTAGTACTCCACGCTAGTATGAAAATTATGACAATCTGATGACATTGGTCTGCTAGATGAATGGCCCAAAATCAAAAATCAACTTTTTGGCGAAAATTTTGCAGCAGAAAATTTTCTATGGGCTTCAAATTGCAGCACATTATTCATTGAAACTTTTTATACATCGTTGGTTCTGTGGGACACGCCATTTATCTGTCAGCACTATACGAATTTTCAGGGTCCTGGGAAATTCGCGGAAAATTCTGGAAAAATCGATTAACTTTTCCGCAGAAAATTAGCACACAATTAGTACTTCACGCTACTATGAAAATTATACAAATCCGATGACATTGGTCTGCTAGATATATGGCCCAAATTCAAAAATAAAATTTTCGGCAAAAATTTGGGAGCGGAAAATTTAATTTTTTCAGCAGATAAAAGCACACTAATAGCAAGTATTATTGAGTTTTTCACCGACCCAATCCGATGACCCTGGTCTGCTAACTTTTTGGAGCTGCTCGAGGCGAAGCCGAGGGCGGTAGACACACACGTTTGAATGTCTAGTTTTGCTTCCTAGGTCCACATACTATTTTTCGTAATAACTGCACGGTATAATGTAAATGTACATATGCTCGCCCCTGTCCCTATGCTCATTCCGATGTCGCGAGCTATCACATTTTAATCATTTTGACAGCCCCAACAATCTATTAAGAGTGGAATATGATTGGAGATATAAGTTTAATTGATAAGGAAAGTTATCGACACCAATGAACAGTGATTTATTGAAGAATAAGAGAGAAAAATTTCATTCTCATCAACTGGTGCTACACCAGAGTGAATTCGTAAGCTACAAGTTAAGAAACTTACAATTTACAAATTTTGATATCTCCGTCATAGTAGTAAAATTGGATTAAACATCCCTTGAGTGAGGTTTCGGATAGTTTAAAATTGAATACAAATACATAAATGATAGACATCTTAATATTTCACTGAAACATCGTCAATTAAAAGAATAGGTACAATGAAAATGGCATTGATCCTATGGTCGTTTTGCAACCAACTGTCTACTGGTAATGGACTCAATGGATGAAAAAATCATTTAAAAAATGTTGGGCTGTCCAATTGAAATATAATTTAGTGCCTCGAGATATTTTTTAATGTTGTATTATCATAAAATGTCATACTCGCGATGTTATTAGTTGAATAGAACCTTTCCATATCACTCAAATCACGAGACGAGGATAGGGACATGTATCAGGTTTGAGTGGTAGGGGACATTGACGCATACCTCAGTTGAATAGAACCTTTCCATATCACTCAAATCACGAGACGAGGATAGGGACATGTATCAGGTTTGAGTGGTAGGGGACATTGACGCATACCTCAGTTGAATAGAACCTTTCCATATCACTCAAATCACGAGACGAGGATAGGGACATGTATCAAACGTATACTGAGGACCTTATGAGAGTGGTCTCAGGTTTGAGTGGTAGGGGACATTGACGCATGCCTCAACTCGAAAAAGTGGGGGTACCCAGTCAGGACCATTCTCATACGGTCTTTAGTATACATGGGGACAAGTGAGCGAGCATAGGGACAGGGGACTTTCCACATTTATGGACGATTATTCATTAAAAAATACTAGTTACGATGATTAATATCAGTGAATTCTAATCCTGAAGGTTTTACCCTCTGATGTCTAATTTAAAACATCACATCTTCATACTCATTTGGATAGAAATATTCGACTAATGATGTGTTCACCTTAGCTAGACGAGCGTAGGGTCATTTATGTTAGTTCGATTTTTCTTCGTAAATGCAGGGAGGAACGTGGGTTATGTCATTCCGAGGATCGTCAAAAAAACAACGGAAATCCGAGGAATGAAATAAGTCACTATCTTGCCGTCATTTGGAGAGGAAAATCGAAGTTTCCGTGCAGACATGATGAAAAAGTATTTTCGTGTCACGTAACATCACTAACAAAAAATATAGTTCGGATACACGTGCGACGGGGTGTTTTAGCTCGTGTGATTGGCAGCCCTCGGCTTCGCCTCGGGCCGCCGACTTCATACTCGTTACCACCCCGTCGCACTTGTATCGAAATATACTATTTCTGTACTGCTTCTCACGATTTCTCATCTGGGAATTGGTATTGCATACTTCCCAAACTCGAAAACTGGAAAATCATTACAGAAAAATATTGTTCCTGGGCTGTTGCGATGGGGTTTTTTTACTCGTGTGGCGTTGGCCTCCGAGCCGTAGGCGAGGACTGGCCAACCACACTAGTAAAAAACCCCATCGCAACAGGCCGGAAAAATACTATTTCGTGTTACGGGATCTGAAAACCCCATTTTCGTGGCGCTGCGCGTCGCAAAATTGGCGTCTTTCAGGTCCCTCGACACAAAAATTGATGTACACACCTCGCCATGGAAAACATATCACCCGCCCCCACATCCTTGCCATCCTCGCCTTCGGCTCGGAAGGCAATCTTGCACGNTAGGGATCTGAGATTATATTTTTATAAAATTTATCCCTCCGGAAACAGGCGCTGATTTTTTATAATTTTTTAAGCAACGAATTTCGGAGAAAATACATGAGTATGCGGTTTGTCCGGGGGGTTGAAGACACCCGCATATATCCGAAGGGATGAAAATTTAGGGGGGCGAGGGGGAGGGGTTTGGGACTACATTGTTGTAAAATTTACCCCTCCGGAACCATGCGCTGATTTTTTATAATTTTTTGAAAAATGAATTTCNCTATTACTGATGAATATGGCTTTATAAGGCGAGCCGAAGGCGAGGATTATAATCACATGAGGCAAGCCTTGTGACAAAATTACTATTTTTTCCAACTTTTTGTTCATAAAATCAGAAAACAGAAGAGACAAAAATTCGCTCGTCATGCGACCAACTACATTCGGTGGAGAGTTACGACCGCTGAAAGGGATACGTCGGTGAAATTTAAGTCTTCATTGGGCCTTGGGAATCATTGAACAGTTTGTCATATATGACAGAATATGGAAATAACTAGGGAAAATCGCGGACCCGATCGATTTTGCCCCGTATAACCACGAAAAACTTCACTTTTTACTTTTTTTATTCAAAATGCGCCATAATTTGATACATTTTTCGCGTCTCTAGAATAGGACTAAAAATTCATTGTTTATAGTAATCAAAAATTGTAATCATCAGTAATCCAATTTTTATGAATAAAAAAAAATGGTAGGTTGAAGTGAAAAGGCGGGTTCAAAAGAAAAGTTAAGAAGTTCAAAATTCATTTATTCATGAACTATTGTGAATAAAGTAAAACGGATACTTAACTTTATTGTTTGGAGTGTAACGAACATTTAAAAATGAGAAAATCGTATGAAAACTACGGCGCAAGGAGCAATTTGAAGGTAAAAACAGGGAAAAATGAAGTTTTTCGTGGTTATGCGGGGAAAAATCGATGGGGTCCGCGATTATCCCTAGTTATTCTCATATTCTGTCATATATCACAAACTGTTCGATGGGTCCCAAGGCCCAGTGAAGACTTTTAAATTTCACCAACGTATCCCCCTAAGGGTTGAATCAACAATTTTCAGATAAGCAGAGCAATAGGTTCTAAAGAGAGGGGTGTAAGAAACCTGAACCTAATAATTTCGTCAACATTTACTCTTGTAGTAAGTGTATTTCACTATAGACTTAATTTGCAATACTAACCTTCTGCCGTTGTACATGATCTTGTAGTAAATCTGATACATCCTCCCTCCTAAGATGAGCCTGCCGAGACCTGATAGTCTCTTCATACCTCGAGGCCATGGCTTCAGAGTCCAGATCCAATTCACTAGGATCTAATGCTACTTCCACAGCTCCATCTTTCTCAACCCGAGACTCTCCTCCACTAATTCCCCTCCTGGCAGCAATAACAGAAGGTGGAGCCTGTCCTCCAGCTCCTGTCATATCGTAAACATGAGTGCTGCCCATCATACTGCCACCGAGTCCTTCAGTCCGCCTCTCCTGAAGTACAGTGTAAAGGGCTGCTGGAGTATCTCCACCCTCCATATCACTCTCAATCTTTTTCTTCCTCAATTCAATTGTTTCAGGAGTTTCTAATCCAGCAGGGATTGATGTCATACCACTTGGAGTTATCAAACCTTCGGCTCCAGGTGTCACGAGACCGCTGGCGTCTCCATCCATCTCTTTTCCATCTCCATCGACATCACCACCTTGAAATTATTAAGTGACATATGTTTAATGAATGTGTGCATCGACAAAATCACTTCGAAATGAGAAGTTTTAGTGGAACCCATCAAGTAACTTCATATTATAGAACATTTCATGGACTATGGCAGTATTTTAACTTTTCGTTTTTAATATTTCATACGTAAATAGTATATTTCGTCATTAGGCCGAAAAAATGAATCTCCGCATCCGTGAATCTCTGCCTACGGCCGTCATGACAAAATCCTCGCCTTCGGCTCGTGCTGCAAACCTCATATTTGCCAGAACAGTTTTTTTCGGCCTAATGACGAAGTATACTATTCTAGGTCTCTCTAGAGCCTCCCATATTTTCCTCTCAACTCGTAAACTTCGAATTTACTGGCAAAGTAATCTGTAGACAAATCTCTCTTACCATCATCTCCTTCTTCATCTTCGTCCTCCTCCCCGGAACTCTCGGACTCCGGCTCTCCCCACATCCCCCGATCGACCTCCTCATCCATTACATCCGCGCCAAGCGGTCTCACCACTCCAAAGACATCTCCATACAGTGGCCTGCCTGTCTCATCAACGGGAGGTTTCCCCCAGCCCCCAGCATGGTACCCAAATGCACATCCTTCAGGGATTGGTGCATTCAAGCCCGGAATCTTCAAATTCGGATAACTAGGAGGAGGCCCATATCTTTGCATGGCAATAAGCCAAGGCGGAGGCACCTTATGGCAATTGGGCCCTACCGGCATACCCAAGGCTGTTCTTAGTTCATCCGAGAGTTCACCAGGCTTCTTCTCCTTCAGTCTCGTCTCAAATTCCTTGCCTTCGTAGTACAAATCTCCATGAATCGTCATTCTAGGTTTCGTTTGCCACTTAAAAAATGCATCATGCAGCTTTTGATAATCAATATCAATCTTGCCTAGTTTAGGCCTCGCCCTCTCCCTCATCTTTGCTTTCAACGTCTTTGAGTCATCTCGTTCTTGTAGACTAGCCCTCATCTCAGTGATCCCAGTGCGCTTAATAAAGTCGGGAAGATCAAAGGGTGGTTTTTCAATTCCCCTTTTCCCTTGCAAATACTTTCGCTTGAAGCACCAGTGTCTAGGAACTGGAACGGTGTTCCTATGAGCCTTCAACTGGACAAGAAGCTTTGGGTCTCGAGCTGTTACATCGTGCATTTCCACGACATCGGGACGACCAACAAGTTGTTTCAGTTCGGCTACACTGAGACGAGTTAATCGTTTTAATTTTCTTTTTGATAACCGAGGAGCTCCGTTCTCCGTTGTGGAAGGCTGAGGTTGTCCTGCATCTTCGTCGAAGTCATCGAGTAATGGAACCTTACTGGGAATCACTGGAGTCGCAGCTGGAGGATACTGACCGATGAGTTCTCTATCTTTTTCAATGGATTCTGGTTCGATCAATTTGAAAGCTTCGAAGACTCGAGCGAATTGGCGGTACATGGGTTCCAGATCAGTTACTCCTGGCGTTTCCTGGACGTACTCCACCTCTGGGAGGTCCTCTTTAGTAGCAAAAACGTCTGGGTCTTTCTTCTTATTCTCTTGGTCTTCCTTTGGGTCGATCGCATGACGTTTCTTCTTCTTCTTTTTCTTCTTCTTGGATTTTTGAGACTTTTGATGGGTGTTGGAATTAGAAATTTCATTTGGAATTTCAAGGGGATCGGTGACGAAGTCGATAGGGAGGTCTGAAGGTGGATGAGAAGGGGAACTGCCTGGCACGGAGATCTCATTGGGATCTGTGCCAACTTCCTTGGCACGTTCGGTCTTGAAAGCCAAAGCTTGTTCAAGCGCTGCTGGAAGCTTGACTGCAGATGGGTCTGTGTCGATATCGGATTCTTCCATTAGTGGCTGGTCCATACCTGGCGGGACTGAGACTTTGAGGGAGAGGAGACTCGGAAGTGGTTTTTGTGGCTCCATTTTTTACCTGAAATGGCTAATGATTGAATATGTACAGAATTACCCACAATTTATGACAGACATTCCAAGGTGGCAGTGGATTTGAAGGAATACATCAACTTGATGTTGACACGCTGTCATTCTTCATGAAGAATGAAATTTCCAACCCCTTTCTTTCTTTCAATGATATTTTCTCCGAGATAAAGGCAAGATGAAATGATAAAAGTCCCATGTAAAATGAGGAACCTTCTGTCATTAATTCAAGGTTATGCCTTCACATAGTGAACATGTGATCATGCGGAGAGATTTTTTCAAAATAAGAGAATTTCTCGTCAGTAAGACAATCACTACAAATTGCTTGCTACAAAAAAGTTTCCTAGTCCCAAACAAGTGGAAAATTGCTCTTGTATTGTATAGTATTAGTACATTACATGCCCGAGCCTTGGAAAACAGATCACCGTCCCCCACGTGCTTGCCATCCTCGCCTTCGGCTCGGAAGGCAATCTTGCACGTGGAGGAGGGCGATATGTTTTCCATGGTGAGGTGTGTATGTTAATTTTCGTGTCACGAGACCTGAAAAACGCCAAATGGGGTTTACAGGTCCCTTGGCACGAAATAGTATATTTCGATACAAGTGCGACGGGGTGGTAATGAGTGTGAAGTTGACGGCCCGAGGCGAAGCCAAGGGTTGCAAATCACACGAGCTAAAACACTAATGAAATTTTTTTTCTCTAAATTCTAATTCTCTTAGAATTCTTTAATGCCTAAAGGAGGTTAGGCGGTGTATGAGGTGAATTTGAGAGTGAATTTCTGTGGTTCCCGGTAGCTTAGTCGGTAAGAGTGCCCGGCGCGTATCTGGGAGACCCGGGTTCGATTCCCGCCTGGGTGAAGCGGAAATTTTTTCTCTCTAAATTCTAATTCTCTTAGAATTGCGACGGCGCACGTGTATCCGAACTATATTTTTTATTAGTGATGTTACGATCAGCGAGTGCCGATGACGTTGTAACGCAAACGATTCTGGCGAAAAATAGGCACGACTTTTGGCGCGGACTGTACTCTAGGCGCACTGAATGCAGGGGTCCTTTTTTTAAAATAATATTTTAAATTATGTCGAAAAACCGATTGAAATTTATTTTCTAAACAATTATCTTTTTTATGAATTGATTTTAGAACTAAAAAAATTATTAATTCAATAAATAAATTAATTTATTCACCCACTCGGTTTTTTTATCTGTGGAAAATAGACGCATGTATCCGGAGGGATGAAAATTCAGAGGGGTGAGGGGGAGGGGTCTGAGATTACATTTTTATAAAATTTACTCCTCCGGAAATATGCGCTGATTTTTTATAATTTAAAAAAAAATGGATTTCGGGGAAAATACATGATCATGCGGTTTCTCCAAGGGATTGAAGACAACCGCATGTATCCGGATTGGTGAAAATTTAGGGGGGTGAGGGGTAGGGATCTGAGATTATATTTTTATAAAATTTATCCCTCCGGAAACAGGCGCTGATTTTTTATAATTTTTTAAGCAACGAATTTCGGAGAAAATACATGAGTATGCGGTTTGTCCGGGGGGTTGAAGACACCCGCATATATCCGAAGGGATGAAAATTTAGGGGGGCGAGGGGGAGGGGTTTGGGACTACATTGTTGTAAAATTTACCCCTCCGGAACCATGCGCTGATTTTTTATAATTTTTTGAAAAATGAATTTCCTGGAAAATACATGAATATGTTGTTTCTCCGGGGGGTTAAAGACAGCCGCATGTATCCGGAGGGGTGAAAATTTAGTGGGGTGAGGGGGAGGGATCTGAGATTATATTTTTATAAAATTTACCCCTCCGGAAACATGCGCTGATTTTTCATAATTGAAAAAAAATGAATTTCAGGGAAAATACATGAGTATGCGGTTTCTCCGGGGGGTTGAAGACAGTCGCATGTATCTGGAGGGGTGAAAATTTAGGGGGGTGAGGGGGAGGGGTCTGAGATTACATTTTTATTAATTTCCCCCTCCGGAAACATGCGCTGATTTTTGATAGTTACAAAAATGAATTTCGGGGAAAATACATGATCATGCGGTTTCTCCGCGGGACTGAAGACAGCCGCATGTATCCGGAGGGGTGAAAATTTAGGGGGGTGAGGGGGAGGGGTCTGAGATTACATTTTTATCCAATTTACTCCTCCGTAGACATGCACTGATTTTGTATAATTTTTTAAACAATGAATTTCGGGGAAAATACATAAGTATGCGGTTTCTGCGGGGGGTTGAAGACAGCCGCATGTATCTGGAGGGGTAAACATTTAGGGAGGTGACGGAGAGCGGTCTCAGATTACATTTTTATAAAATTTACCCCTCCGGAAACATGCACTGATTTTTTATAATTAAAAAAAATGAATTTCGGGAAAAATTCATGATCATGCGGTTTCTCCGGGGGGTTGAAGACAGCCGCATGTATCCGGATGGGTGAAAATTTAGGAGGGTAAGGGGGACGGGTCACAAATTTCATTTTTACAAGAGTCATTCCTTCGGAAGCATGTTGGAATTTTTTATCATTTTTTTAACAATCGATTTCGGGAAAAATACAAGATAATGGGGTTTTCACAGAGGGTTGAAGACAGACGTGTGTATCCATAGGGTTGTACGTTTCGTTCGAAGAGGGGGGGGGGCAGATTGCAGTTCATCTGTATTTATAAATTCAACTTATTCATGAAAATGGTATAGAGAGAAATGTTACGTCTCGCATGATGAAATCTGTATTATGCTTATCATTTTTTCATGCAATTTTTAGCGTTAATCGAGAGTAATTGAATATCTGGAAGTCTCCATCTATTTAATGCAACTACCCGAGTGGAAATTCCGGTCAGGTCTTCATCAAGTTTGGATCAGGTTAGACCTGACCACTGATCAGGTATTGATCAAGTTGACGGATCCGGTCTTGATCAGGACGAATGGATCCGAACTTGATCAAGCCAGCTGTATGAAAACCGGATGAGCTGTCCGTCAGTATCAATAAAAATTATCAATGATTATTAATATCGAAAACAAAAAATAATTCAATTCTTTCACCGTAGGCGGCCTCTCTTAATGAATCTTTACTGTTATTACCTCTGAAAAAGCTTATTATTTTTTTACCGATGCTGGGGATCGAACCGGGGACCCTATGATTGCTAATCCTGTGCCCTAACCACTACGCTATCGCGCTATTACTATTGAGTAAACTGTACATTGCCTATATGATTTGTATCGAGGTATTCGTTGAATTTACGATTATTCCTGATCTCCCGGATGTGCGTGTGTATTCTCAGAGATAAAATATGCTCAATTAAATTTTTATTTATTACATTAATGAATAATAATCATGATAATAACAATAACACTAATAAATAAATAGACATTTGGTGATTTTTTTTCTCAAGATCATTTGCGTGTAAGTTTGATACTCCTCTAATACGTATTTACGGCATCATCATCCCTCTCTTCTGTACATTTGAGAAGGGCTGGCTGTTAATTAAATTAAATTCATGAAATTAAATAAATTGAATTTAATTTATTTTAATTATAGTATAATGATCGTTTTTAAAGATTGAAAATAATTATTGATAATAGTTGATAAAACTTAATTTAAATAGTATAATAATAGTTAATTAAATTACCCGAAAAACTTATTAAAATTAATGTCAGGTGGACCGGATCTGAATCTGATCATTTTCTCTTTAATTGACCCCGTTCAAATGCCGATCGAAGACATCAAATCCGCATTTGATCAAATTGGGCTCAGGCGACCGACCTTAGGGTGAGATCGTGCCTACCTGATCAGAACTTGATTTGAATCATCCTGCAGTTTTTCGGATCCGATCTACTGGATCAAAACTTGGTCAGGTTCTCATCAGGCATCATCTGATCATGTCTACCTGATCAGAACTTGATCTGAACACGCCCGTAGTTTCTCGGATCCGATTTCCTGGATCAGAACTTGGTCAGGTTCTCATCAGGAATCACCGGATCAGTCGAACCTTACAAAAACCTGATCAAGTTCTGATCGTGCTTCAGGTGGGCCTGAAGCACGATTCCCACTCGGGTATCAGTTCATAGTTAAGTTTCGAACAAATGAAATAGTTCGCAAAAAAATATATATTGCAGACATGTGCTGGACAGTCTCAAAAGTGATTTGAGATGAGAATGAAAGTAACTCAAGAAGATTTATTTCTCAAACCCCCGGAGAAACAACATACTCAGGTATTTTCCCAGAAATTCATTTTTCAAAAAATTATAAAAAATCAGCGCATGTTTCCGAAGGGGTAAGTTTTATAAAATTGTAATATCAGACCCCTCCCCCTCACCCCTCTAAATTTTCACCCATCCGGATACATGCGGCTGTCTTCAACCCACCGGAGAAACAACAGTCATGTATTTTCCCCGAAATTCCTTTTTTTTTTAATTATAAAGAATCAGTACATGTTTCCGGAGGGGTTAATTTTCTTACAATGTAGTCTTAAACCCCTCCCTCTCACCCCCCTAAATTTTCATCCCTCCGGATACATGCGGGTGTCTTCAACCTCCCGGAAAAACCGCATACTCATGTATTTTCCCCGAAATTCATTGTTTAAAAAATTATAAAAAATCAGCGCATGTTTCCGGAGGGGTAAGTTTTATAAAAGTGTGATATCAGAGCCCTCCCCCTCACCCCCCTAAATTTTCATCCCTCCGGATACATGCGGGTGTCTTCAACCTCCCGGAAAAACCGCATACTCATGTATTTTCCCCGAAATTCATTGTTTAAAAAATTATAAAAAATCAGCGCATGTTTCCGGAGGGGTAAGTTTTATAAAAGTGTGATATCAGAGCCCTCCCCCTCACCCCCCTAAATTTTCACCCCTCCGGATACATCCGGCTGTCTTCAACCCCCCGGAGAAACAACATACTCATGTATTTTTCCCGGAATTCATTTTTCAAAAAATTATAAAAAATCAGCGCATGTTTCCGCAGGGGTAAATTTTAGAACAATTTAGTCTCAAACCTCTCCCCCTCGCCCCC